CTCCTCCGGCTCGTCGGCTACGTCGCGGGCGACTGGCCCGGCACCGTCGCGGGCGCCTACGACGCGCTGCTCGCGGCCCTGCCCGACGACGCCGCGGCGAAGCTGCTCCTCTGTTCCATCTGGGTCTCGGGCGGCGCCCTGTTCCCCGCGGAGCTCGTCGACGTCGTCGGCGAGAAGCCCGCGAAGGCGCTCGCGGCCGCGCTCCGCGGCGCCGCGCTCCGCGAGGCGGCGCCCGTCGTGCGCTTCGTCCACCAGCAGGCGCGCGACGCCGTCGAGCGGCGCTGGCTCGGGAAGAAGGGCGCGAAGCGCGACGCGCACGCCGTGCTCTTCCGCTACTTCGCCGCGCGCTACGACGGCGGCGACGCGGGCGCGCAGGTCCTCTCGCGGCTGCCGGCGCACGCCGTCGGCGCCGGCGACGCCGCCGCCGCGAAGAGGTACCTCTGCGCCGTGGCCTACGGCGAGCGCAAGTGCGCGGCGGGCCTCGCCGGCGACCTCGCGCGCGACTACGAGGCCGCGGCGCGCGCGTTTCCAAAGGAGCGCGCGTTCCGCGACTTCGCGGAGACGGCGCGGGCCAACGCGCACGTCCTGGGCCCGGACCGCTGGGTCGCGGGCCTCTGGGCGCAGCAGGCGCGGAACGCGCGACGCACGTCCGAGGTGCGCGCCGCCGCGCCCGACGCCGGCGGCCTCTTCCTCTGGCGGAACGGCGACGAGAAGCCGCCGCCCTGCGTCGCGACGTTCGCGAACCCCGCGTGCGACTTCTGGGCCGCGTCCGCGTCCCGGAGCGGGACGCGCGTCGCCTGCGGCGGCTCGGACCGCAAGGTCCACGTCCTCGACGGCGACGGCAACGAGCGCGCGCTGCTCGCGGGCCACGGCGACGACGTCTCGCTCGTCGCGTTCTCGCCGTCGCGCGAGCACCACCTCCTGAGCGTCGCGCGCCGGGGCGACGGCGGCTCCGACGCGTTCCTCTTCGACGTGGACACGGCCGAGAAGCTCGCGGCCTACGACGTGCCCGAGGGCTTCGTGTGCGACGCGCGCTGGGCGCCCGACGGCGAAAGGTTCGCGCTCGCGCTCGGCGCCGCGTCCGTCGTCTTCGCGGGCGACGGGTCGTCGAACGCGCGCCTGGCGACCGTCGACGGCGGCGCGGCCGCCGTCTGCTTCTCCGCGGACGGCGCGTCGCTGCTGGCCGCGCGGGGGACGGCGCTCGCGGCGTGTCCGATCGGCGCGTCGGCGGCGCCGTCGGCCTTCGCCGCGGCCCACGACGAGAAGATCAACGCCGTCGACGCCGTCGAGGCCTGCGTCGCGACGGCCGGCGACGACGGCAGGGTCGCGCTCTACGACGCGACGACGGGGACCGTCGCCCGCGTCGTCGCGGCGCACGGCGACGTCGCCAAGGTCGTGCGGCTCTTTCGCTTCCAGGACGAGCTCTGGGCGCTGTCGGGCTCCGAGGACCGGACCGCGCGGTTGATCTGCGCGAAGACGGGCGCGTCGCACGCGCTCCGGGGCCACAGCGCGGCCGTGTCCGCCGTCGCGCCCTTCGGCGGCTTTTGCGCGACGGCGGGCGACGACGGCACGTGCCG